CAGTGAAGCAACGTCCTCCACAACTAGACTGAAGAACAAAACGACAGCAACTTGTCTGTTCCCCTTCCCCCAATTCCCCAGAGCTGTTCCCATCCCCCCAATTCCCCAATAAAAATCTGTAAAAAATAAAAAAATAATAAAAAAATGCATTTATCTGTGGATGAACAATACTATTTGTTCTCTGGCTTTGAGATATAATTGATACATAACACTGTGTAAGTTTAACGTACATATGATGATGACTTGATACATGTATGTATTGCAAAATTATTACAATAAGGTTAGTGAACACCTCCATCACCTCAGATAATTAATTACCTTTTTAGGAGAGGGAGTATGAGAGCATTTATGATCTATTCTTTTAGCAACTTTCAAGTATAAAATATAGCATAGTTAAGTATAGTCACCATGTTGTACATTAGACCCCCCAGAATTTATTCATTCATCTTATAACTGGAAATCTGTACCCTTTGACCAACATCTCTCCATTTTCGACACCCCATTTTACTATTTCTATGAGTTTGGCCTTTTTAGATGCCACATGTAAGCAAGATCATACAGTATTTCTCTTTCTCTATGTCTGACTTATTTCACTTAGCATAATGCCCTCAAGGTCCATCTATGTTGTCACAAAAGGCAGGATTTCCTTTTTTTAATGACTGAGTAATGTTTACATATACATATATCTCACATTTTCTTTATCCATTCATCCGTCAATGGAAACTTATGTTGCTTCCATGTCTTGGCAATTGTGAATAATGTATGAGGTGCAAATATCTCTTCAAGATAGTGATTTCATTTCCGTCAGATGTATATCCAGAAATGGGATTGCTGGGTCATATGGTAGTTCTAGTTTTAAATTTTGGGGGAACCCCCATACTGTTTTCCATAGCGGCTATACCAATTTACATTCCCGTCAACAGTATATAAGGGTTCCCTTTTCTCCACATCCTTGCCAATACTTATTTCTTGTCATTTTTGTCTTTGTTTTTGGTTTTTTTTATAGCCATTCTAACAAGTGTGAGGTGATATCTCATTGTGATTTTGATTTGTATTTCCCTGATGATTAGCAATGTTGAAGACCTTTTCATGTACCTGTTGGCCATCTGTGTATCTTCTTTGGAAAAATGTGTATTCAGGTCTTCTGCCCATTTTTTCTATAATTTGGGGTTTTTTGCTATTGAATTATATGAGTGGTGAACATTACTTAACACTGGAATTAGAAAAGTTTCAGCAATAAATTATAGCCCTATGTTTTGGTTTTATAAATGTTAGTGCTGAGAAACCTTGTCCACATATATAAATAGATGACAACATTATACATTTTGTTGAACACTTTCTGAGATATATGACCCCCAAAATCACGACATCATCAGAAATTACTTAATCTCTCTGCTGACAACCTGATTAGATTTTCCTTTAATTTTTGTTGGGAGCAAAGAATTTGAAACTACCTGTGTTGCAAAATTCATCGAAGTATTCACTTTCTCATTTTCTGGGAGGTATGCTAAGAAGACTACCAAGTTTTACCCAATTACTATCAACTATACCAGTTACTCTTTTATTTAGAGTCACTGTTTAACTTGATATATTTAGAAAGGGCTGGGAAAATTAGACTATTGTTCATGTCAATACACCATTGTCAATCTAATATTTTTTTTGAAAAGTTACTTTTATCCTACATGCTTGAAATATAACTTCTGTAACAGTTTGGAACTTCAGATTTTGCTCCTCCAATTTATGCAAAATATTTGCCGCATAACCTAATTGGCAAGCCCAGTTCTCATAGGCAAACCAGTCAGTCAAATCAGGCTCATTTCCTGTCTGAGAGTCTGACATCATTGTTAAATTCAAGTAGGTTCTAATGCC